TTATCTTAATAAAATAACCAGGTATTGACGATTTTAGTACTGACGGATTTTTAGTTATTTTTGTGTAAAAAGGATTTTAATTTTAAAAGTTTTAAATTTTTGATTATCTTTTATATAATATATATACTATATATATAAACTATATATATCATCATTTTGAATATATTATATTTTATAAAATAAATTAAAAAACTTATTAGTAATATTAAATCTGATAAATATTATTTTAAATTATTTTTTTGAAATTATATATACTATAATATTAAGTTTTAAAACTAAATTTATTATATATTAATTAAATATTTTTTCTTATTAATTTATGAAGCTATAAATTATTTAGTTTTTAACTTATAACTTTTTTTTATATTTTGTTAATTAAGTAAAATATTTTTTATATTATTTTATATATAAAATAAATTTTTTAAAAAAATTTAAAAATGTTTATTAAAATAATTAATAAATAAATACTTATAAATATAAAAAATAAAGTAATTTTTTATATAAAATATACTTATATAACAAGTTTATAAAATTAATAATTAAAATTTTTTTTGATCTTAAGGTGATCTCTTTAGTCTTTTGACTTTTATTAACAACTTATTGGTAATGTAATTCTATAGACTACTACAGAAGAGAATATTATTAGTTATATATGTAACTTTTTTATATTACCTATTTAAGAAGTCTGCTTAAAGGTTTCTTACCAATTGCTATATCTAACACTCCTGCTTGATGTTTTATTTTAAATCTTTTGAATCTATAATCTGTCTTAACTCACTAGGTTATATTCAGATATCCAGATCATTATTTCAACCTTAGGAATAATTTATCTTTAAGATAAACTTTCTAGAGCTTTCTGTATTTATTTTTTATAGTTGACCTAAATATTACTATGGCAGAACTAACACTTACAGTTAAGGCTTAACTATTAAACTACTATAACTTTGTAAAGTTCACTTAGATTTCAGTATTTATTTCACAACATAATTCTGATACTTTAGTATACTTTTGCCTTTTCACCTGTCTTTTTATTAAATTTTCAATCCAGATAGTCTATATAAGATTACAACCAGTCTATCAATATATCAAATCAACCTAATATCTTTTTCCTTCAGTTCATTTTGATAATCTAGTTGGTGATACCTCTGAGACTCCCAACCTAAAGATTCTTGTTCATTTAACTACTATGACCAGATACTATGATCTTGGTATCTGTTTCTTCAAACTAGTCTTTACAGTAAAACTGTTGAAGATCCAACTACCTTTCTACTCAGGTCTTCCTAAATGGACTTTTTGTTACTTAATTTCAATGGATTTATACAGTCATAAGGACTTATCTAATGTTTGTACCATCTGATTTGTCAGTTTGCATTCCTCTATGTAACTTTAACATTGTACAGATGTCCCATGACCTGCCAGTCATACTGGTGAAATTGTTATTACAAATATTCTAATCTAATTATTATTAACAGTTACCATAATGTAAATATTATATAGGTAATTATTCAAATTTTTACTATTAATTGGATTTGAATACCCAACCTACCACTTGGAAGGTTGACAACCTGATCACTTCACTAGATTGCCACACTCCTTAAATTAATAATTAATATGTTTTTAAATAATATAAATATAAAATATAAGTCAAGAGGCTTATTTTATATATAACATAAGTGTTATAGTTTTACTATATAAAATTACTAATTTTTTATATAGTAAACTAATTTAAATAGATAATCTTCTTTTTATTATAACTTATTTTTATAAATAATTGTAATCAAAACTTTGCAACTTTATACAAAAATTTCATCAAAATACTTACAAGTAGAATAAAAAATACTTGATTATAATTGGTTAAATTATAAATATATCAAAAAATTTTTTAATTTTTAATTTTTTTTAAAAAAAATTAACCAACTTTAAAATTTTTATACAATATGCAATCAAAGATTGATTTAATTTTTTTTTATAAACATATTTTATAAATCTTCAAATATTAAAATATTTATTTAATTGCAAGTTAATATGTTAAATTATATACGTATTGTCAAAATTAACAACAGAGACCGACTGATCCTTCACACCCGTGTGCAACACTTAAAAAAAATATTTAATGTCGCGGAAATGGCTAAAGCTGGAAATTAGGGACCTTGGTTTAAAAATATTAACCCCAATCAAAATCATCTTACTGTATACTCTTTATTATCAAAACTAATCCCAAATTCTAACCTAACTATAAAAAAAGTGCACCCCAAAATTTTTGAGAATTTCATATTAAAATAATGAAAATTCTAGCTTCGCCACGGCATTTAATTTTTCAAAAATATATAACAAATACAGTAAATTTATATAAAGAAATCGTTATCCCTGCATTTCTTGCAAAGTCTAACATAATTTTAAGGAGTGTTTACTATTTCTTTTTCTTTTATACCAACAATGATTGTTGTGATTATAATAATATCAGATAAATCTTTAAATGGTCGAACTCCATTTGTGAGCTCTCAGAATAATATACCAATAGATATCTGCATGCCAATAAGATCCGTATTTGAAGACATTACAGTATCATCAAGTTTTTTGACACTTCAAAATCTGAAATCAAGATATTCCCATTACTTATAAGAACATTCATAGAATGCTAGATATTTTGGGTCAAATGATTTCAAATTGTGAGTAAATTATTCAATGCATAAAACCAAAAAAATACAAAATTAAACACACAAGATCCCGATGAATAATATTTTTAGAATGTAAATGAGCTAGCCCAGCGATTATTTCCTTTGATTTCATTCCATGAAATTTTATAAAGATCGTTATTTATTTATTTTTTTTTTGCAAATATGTTCGTAGGTTTCTACCATCAGCAAATTAACATTAATATAAAATTATCGGTTTTTCGATCTAACAACCCATTTTTTAAGCAAACTAATTGTGGTTTATAAACTCAATTATTAAAAACTTAGATATCCACAAACCTATCGAAGCTCCGTAAAATTTAATAATATTTTTGGTGTTCAACTTTATAAAGAATACTTAATTTATATGTTTTAGAGTACTTTTTAAGAAGTAGCATTACATAAGTAAAAAGTCGTCCAAACATCGTTTCTAGCCTCAAGAGTTCTAGAAAGTTAACTTTAAAAATAAGATCTTATTTAAGAATGCTTGCTTAGTAGCGACTTTTGTCATATGAGCAGTGCTCTTCCACCACCTTAAGTGGCAAATTCAGAATGTTTTATTTATTTCTGTTTATGAAGACAAAACAGTAAAAATGTGTTGAAATTTATGTCGGATACCTTACTTAATAGTTGCCAAAAAGCATTTATTTTATGAAATTGTATTATTTATAATATACTACTTTAGGGAGCCAATAAAAGAGAATTTATTTAAAATTTTGTACTATGGCGATATTACAATTCACAAAATTTGATATCAAATATAATTTGCTTTTATTACTATATATCACGTTGAAAAAATATTAAATTAATAGCCGATAATTTATAAATAAAAATATTATTATCATTCTCACATAAGTAATATACATTAGCGTCTAAATTATTTTAAAAGCGAAATTTTCGACCTTTTCCAACTAAATAATTTCTCTAACAGTAAAAATATGAATTTGTGTCGTTTATTAAAGATAATTTAAACGCTCATATAAAATCAGGAAGAGCTAACTACTACTGGTGGGTTGTACATCTTTTTTAGTAAAAGATAACATTGAATTATCAATAATATAATTTTCATAGAATTTGATTCTTTTTTCTAAATTATCGAGTCGTTTTTCTATCGCGGAATTAAAATCTTCAGTGATATCTGGTTCGTTAACAAATGGTAAAATGTTTTTTTCATATTGATTTCTAAATAATTTTGTTCTTTGTATAAAACCCCATGGGGAAATTAAACCAGGTCCTGAAAATTTTTTAAAAAATAGGTGATTAATCTATATAATATAACTTAACTCAAAAAAAAGTCAACGTACCAAATAAAAATATATAAAAAGCCGCAATACCACCCCAAATACCGCCAACAATTCCTAGTAAGTTCAAGATCTATTCATTGAAAATCGTGATATATACTGAGAATTTATTCAAAATCATAATTGCCGAGGCTTTTTTAAGAAAATACATATATCTTAAATATCTACTTACAGTTTTACTCCTATTATTACAATTTATTATTGTGAAATTATTAGTATAATTAATAAATGATAATTAAGTATTTACATAATAAGTAATTTCAAGATGGATTTTACCTTTCTTCAGTTTCTTCCGTCACAATAAAGGGCGGATATGTAATAAATTGCAGTATTGCATAAGTATTATTGGTCCCTACAGATATCAATCCATAATTTAGAAAATAATTATAGTATATGATTCTTTTTAATACTTGTGAAAATTCTTACGAGTATCCGAATTCGCAGTCGTAACAGTCGCTACGGTTATTAATAATTAATTACATAAATCATCATAATATTTAAGATAAATGATTTTTTTTATATAAAAAGATTTAATTCTTACACATATGCGATTCAATATACGGTATATCAATAAATCTTTGTCTGCCAAAGTAACTTAAAACGTCTGTAATCAGAGCATGCCTAATACATCTATCAAATATCCATTCATAATGCTACAAATTTTTTTAATAACATATATAAATTTACACATTTATCATTTTTAAAATTATTAAATATATATACATACAGCTATGTCATTTCTAGGTTGCCCAAAAAAATACATATTCTTTAATAAAAGTGATTCCTCAAATTGAATTTGCTCCTGATTTAATGGTTTTGAATCATATTCTAGATTAATTAAAATCCATAAATTTAAACTTATTAGTGTTAAACCTATAAAAATAACTAAAACCTTGCTATTAATTTTATACCTTTATCATAAGCATACATCTCCATGTAATCATTTTGATTAGAAATGTTGTATTTGGGATCTGTGATATTTATCGTAAGTGCAAATTGCGTAAAAGAGGTTGCACTGTAATTTGGTAAAAATGCTGTCAAATATTTAGATTGAGAAGCATCAAATGTGGTTTTATTGATAAAATTAGCACAATTATGACTCCCTAGAATTAATTCGAGTTAGATATGCTATGTGAATAATGAGAAACTAATTATAAATGTAAAATTCCATATTTGCCTGCGAAATCCGAAAATGCACAACTAATGGTAAAATTATAGCTATAAGAAAAATAAATGTCTAAATTGATTTAAAATTTGTTACGTTATGCATTGTTGATATGATTTTTATGTTTATTTAAACTTAATCCTTACCTGGTATGGGCATACTATTAGTTGCTTTATATGACCTATTAATGATAGGCAATTCATCACGAACTCCGAGGCATAATATTACAAATATAGCAATAAATAATCCTAGAGATATGATAATAACGCAACGTCGAAGAATTTTAATCGACTTTGGTTCCTCGTATGTTGTTTGGAACAAGTCTACAATCATTTTTCATTTATTTTTTCACTTATGAAATTATTTTATTGGAAAGAGTAAAGAAAACCAAATTCGTATTATTATAATATCTACTTTTTAATCGGAAAATGCCTTTCATCTATTGTTTATTGATTACAATAATGTTTGTTTGGTGTACGTCCACAAACTTTATTACCTTATATATTACCTATCTATATTTATCGCTAATCCTTATTTATTTATGTGGCATGATTTGTGACATGCTAACGAAAGAGTCAACGATTATCGACTCTTCGCAACCGCAATAAATGCGACTACAATTTACCTGTGCGTTGCAGCAAATTCGATATTTTGATCATCCTTATTTCTATAAACATATCAAACTAACCGATTTTGTTGAAATATATTAATTCGATTAGTAAAGGATCTAATTGCCCAGAAATCCGAGAAATATCTTTTTGAAAACGACTACATATGATTTAGACAATAGAGTTAGTAATCGGTTAATTTATTTACGGTGATACAATACACAAAGGGGAATTAAAATAGCCAATATTAAAAAGCCGTCTATCTTCAATGACTAGTGCTAGTTCACAATGAGATAACTTCGGTAATTAAGTTTTGCGTCTGTACATTTAAATGCTTAATGATTTGCTAATTGCATTGAGTTGTTTCCTTATAAGATTACTAGGACGACCATCAGAGTTTGGCGTCGATGCAGTGTATAAGGAGTATGGAATCAATGATTAATGTTTCACAAAAAAAGATCCGGTACTTAATTGAAAAGTAAATTTCGTAATAGCTAAATTAAACCGTGTGTATAATAACACTATATACCGACAGAATTATCTCTCACATACACTTGTAGCCAATAGCAAGCAGACTTTCAAACTCGTTACATAACCAGTTTCGGATCCGGATAAGTAGAGCCTATTACCAATAGTGTGTTTTCAATATTAATCATATGTACAGTTTCAGTTCAGGATGATTTTGCTAGTTGGTTTCGTCAATGGTTCGACTGCCTAAACTCAAAATTTTTGAAGTTAATTTGACCAATAAACTATAATATACAGATAATCCTTCTGTTGGTGAGCTCCTTTAATAAGACCTCTTGATATTCTGAAAATCTTTTCAAAATTGCTGCGATTTCATCATAAAGTTCAATGGTTCATATGAAAACAGTAATTTTTAATTAATAACAAACTTTTTTCTATTAAATCGACAGTTCATTATGAAAAGCTAACTCTACGAAAATGAACAAGTTCATATAATAATTAATTTCTAGTTTTACATAGAATAATTTTTTTATTGTCTGTAATTTCCTTCCATATTTCCTTCGGACAAACGTGTCAAAAAAGATAGAAACTGGGTTGACATGTAGCGAACAAAAAAATTAATTTCACATGACACCTAAAGAAAATTCGCATTTTGAATTAATTACGCAAATGCTATACATAACAATTTCGTCATTCGTTATTTCATCTACTCAACCTGCCTGACGTCATTCGTCATTTCATCAGCTCAAATCTTCTTAACGAATGGTTCGGCATTAGTAACCCACGTTTAGTTTTCGTTCGGGTATATTTTATAAATTGCTACTTTCGTACTGATACATAATTTTTTGTTCAAACATTACCAATATTGCATAAATGCTTATTTCTTCAGTATGTAACTTTTATTGAAAGCTCTCAACCCATTACCTATTAAATTCTTTTATTTTATTTCTATAGTTTTGTAAAATTGAAATAAATTTTTTTTCAAATTTTTCTTAGTGCTATTAAGAAATAGTTGGTTAAAGTTTAAAGAAAAGAATGTTGCAATATTTTCTAAGCTATAAATAAAATTTCTGTATGATTATTATATAGTTTATATTTTTTTATATTTTAATTATACGTGAAGAATAAAACACAGCATGCTAATTTTTTTTAAATCGTTAATTAAAATTTCTTGATAATTCTTAGCCCAAAATTAATAAGAATTTTATTAAATTCTAAAGATTATAAAACTTGAAATAAATTTTTTTTATTTATCTATTAAAGTTTTAATAAATATTTTTAATAAAAAAAAATCCATTTCCCCATAAAATTAAATAAAAATTATCAAACTTAGTCTGGTAGTTATTAAAAATATTGACATAAGATCTTAAAACAGATTTAGTCAACTTTTTCAATATTTATACGTATATAAAGTTATAAAAAATCCACTTTTTTATTAAAATATACAAAAAATTTCTTTTCAGACTTTGACCCAGCCGTGTTATAAATACAAACTCATTAATTTTTAACATACTAGTGTTGTATAATTTTGTACAAAATTAAATAGTTAATAACAAAATATTAGTAAATAACTTTTTGCTTCTTAAATGCATGGTGGCCAGCTTTTGTATCAGTTTTGAAATACTAATAGTTTTCTTATATTATAATATGTTACACAAAATCTGATTTGAGCCAATAAAAACAATTTATTTTATCTGTATCTTATAGATATTTAATTTGTAAGTATCAATTATCAGGAATGAGGTTATCAGTTTTGACAGGATCGGGTTTGAAAGGTTCGACTGTATTAAACCTTAATTTTGTGTGTATATTATTATTTATATAGCTTGTCAAGCTAAAATTTGCTGAATTAAGAATTGATGCGACAAAGTTAGAACGTTCCAGGATGAGATGAAGCTAAAAAAGCTTGGGACAGTCAAAATCTATAATATCGTACTAAACTATATCGATATACTTAAAATTTTCGAATTCGAAATACTGAATATTTTTAACATTTTGCCCCTGAAGATTTTTCGACATACTAAACTATTTACAATTCTGACTGCTAATTCAGGCACCCATGTATACCGACAGTGTATAAATAAAGTATTGTAATGTCTTTACCACATCAGGGACAATTTTACAATCAATGTTTGCCTAAGTTAGTATGATTTAGAGTTGGTTGGAATTAAGCATCTGTAAAATAACTGTTGATGAAGTGGGTTTATCTAGAATATTCGTGAGCATCTAAATTATTTTTTAAAAAAAACAGTGTTTCGATCAAACATTTTGACCCTTTCTAATGTTTTTTTCTTTTTTTTTTTTTTACGAATAATTAAAATATTTATCATCAAACTCTGAATCGTTTATTAAGAGAGATAATTTAACACTCATATAGTGCCAGAAAGTGTTATCTGCTATTTGGTAAATAATAGATTTATCATCTTTTTTGGTAAACTAATAATGAATTGTCGATAATGTAGCTTTCATAGAATTGAATTCTCTTTTCTAAATTATTGAGTCGGTTTTGCATTGTGGAATTAAAATCTTTAGTGGCATCTGGTTCTTCAGCAAACGTCAAAACGTTTTTTTCATATTGATTTCTAAATAACTTTGATTTTTGTACAAAGCCCCATGGGGAGATTAATCCAGGTCCTAAGTGTTTTTTTTTCAAAATAGTAATAGGTGATTAAATTATATGCCTATAATGTGACCTAAAAAAAATAATTCAACCTACCAAACAAAAATACGTAAAAAGCTGCAAAAACTCCCCAAACACCACCAGTAATACCTAATAAGCTCAAGATCTATTCAATCAAATCATGATAGACATTTTGAGGATTTATTCAAATATGATAATTACTAAGGCTTTGTTTAATTAAAATTTTATCATAAATATCTACTTACAGTTTTGCTCCTATTATAACCATTCATTATGTGGGAAATTATTAGTAACTAATAAGTTATACTAAAATATTTACACAATAAGTTATTTAAGATGAATCTTCACCTTTCTTCAGTTTCTTCCGTCACAATAAAGGGTGGATTTAAGATAAATCGTAGTATTGCGTAAGTATTATTTGTGCCTGTAGTTATCGATTATAATTTGAAAATTAGAAACCAATTATAACACATTAAATTTTTTTTAATACATAGAAGATTCTTACGAAGATCCGAAATCGCGGTAGTAACAGTCGCTGCAGTTATTAATTAATAATAACAAATTATTATTATATTTTAAAATAATAATAATAAAATATAAACATTATAACTCTTACACATATGTGAATCGATATAAGGTATATCAATATATTTTTGTCTGCCAAAGTAACTTAAAATATCTGGAATCAGAGCGTGCCTTATGCACCTATCAAATGTCCATTCATAATGCTACAAATTTTTTTTTTAAAAAATATAAATTTACAAATTCATAATATTTTTAAAACCGTCAAATATACATACAGCTATGTCATTTCTAGGTTGCCCAAAAAAATACATGTTCTTTAGCAAAAGTGAATCATCAAATGAAATTTCTGCGTAATTTAATGGCTTTGAATCATATTCTAAATAATTGAAATTTATACATTTAAAAATTATCGTTAAAGCTATAAAAATAATTAAGATACTGTCATTAATTTTATGAAAGCTCTACCTTTATCATAAGCATACATTTCCATATAATCATTTTGGTTAGAAATGTTGTATTTTGGATCCGTGATATTTATCGTAAGAGTATAGCCAGTGTAAGAAATTGCTTTGGAATTCGGTAAAAACGCTGTAAAATATTTAGACTGAGAAGCATCGAATATAGATTTATTGACAAAGTTTGCACAATTATGATTCCCTGGAATAAATTTAAGTCAGATTTTTTCTATATGTATAATGTGAAACTTATTATAAATGTAAAGTTCTGTACTTGCCCGTGCTATCGAAAAATGTACAGTCAATGGTAAAATTATAACTATAGTAAAAATAGATATCTATATTGATTTAAAATTCTTACGTTATTCATAATTGACTTAATATTGATACAGTAATATTATGCTTACTTGAAGCTTAATCCTTACCTGGTATGGGCAGACTATTGGTTACTTTATATGTTCTGTTAATGATAGGCAATTCATCACGAACTCCGAGGCATAATATTACAAGTATAGCAATAAATAATCCTAGAGATATAATAATAAAACAACGTCGAAAAATTTTAATCGAGTTTGGTTCGTCGTGTGTTATTCGGAATAAATCTACAATCATCTTTCATATATTTTGTCACTTATAATTTTAGCTTATTCAGTAATTAAAGAAAAAAATTTCTCGTTATTAAAATATCTTCCTTTAAATTTGCCATCTTTTAACTGAAAAAGTTTCATTATATGGATACAATCACGTTTGTTTGGTACATGTCCACAACATCATTACCTTAATTATATATGTGCACCGAAATATTGCAGCAATATCTCGTTATCATTCATTATTTTAATATCCTTATTTATTTAGCGGTGTAATTCTTGGCTCACTTATAAAGAAGTTATAATGATCGAACATCGTACAGAGTCAAAATGTTTGACTATTCGTGATAGTAATAAAACTTTAAAAAAAATACGACTATATTTACTTGTAATTCACGACGGAATTATCTAAGAAACAAGTTTGGATTTATTCTGATCAGGTTAATTTATTTGTGGTAATATACTGCCAAGAAAAGAAATTGTGACAAAAAAAAATAGCCCATCATCAAGGAACTATCTGACTCCTATTTTTTAGATCATAGATCCTTTCCAAATGCATAAAAGTGGTTTCAGGTTGTGTAATGAAGTTTGTGTTGCTTATTTGATTAATGATTTTCTAATTGCATTGAATAGTCCTCTTATAAAATTACTAGTGAATATTAGCCATAGGCGGGTCTCAGCTATGACAAATAATAAATAGCTTTTAGGTTAAACCTTTCGACAATAATTAAAGTTACAGTCAACCCTCAGTAAATGCACCCTCTTGGGCCTTATAGGAAAAATTTTTCAAATGTGCATTTATGAAGCGCATTTTATTTGATCACTTATAATCCTATTCTCTAGCATAACTATAAGCCCATGTATGAACTAATAAAAGCTAATATCAAAGACTGCCATTTTAAATATAAAAAAGCAAACAAATAAATTTATTTATCAAGAAATTATATATACATATTTAAACTTTATTTATTTTTTTTTTTTAAAATATTAATGGTGAGGCCATGCCTCTATCTTTATTGAATATTTAATTGAGATTTTACATAAAGTACAAGTCTACTT